GTAGTGGGTTGGAGAGAGGTCAGGTGAATACAGCGATCAGGCAAAACTTTGTAGCACAATTCCTTCAACTTTTGAAGCGTTGGTTACACAACGTGCGGTTGGGCGTTGTCGTGGAGAATTGGGCCCTTTCTGTTGACCAATGCCAGCTCCAGGCGTTGCAGTTTTCGGTGCATCTCACTGATTTGCTGAGCATACTTCTCAGAGGTAACAGTTTCTCTGGGATTCAGAAAGCTGTAGTGGATCAGACCGGCAACAGACCACCAAACAGTGACCATGACCTTTTTTTGGTGCAAGTTTGGTTTTGTGAAGTGCTTTGGAGCTTCTTCTTGGTCCAGTCACTGAACTGGTCATCACCGGTTGTCATATAAAATCCACCTTTTGTCACATGTCACAACCTGATTGAGAAATGGTTCATTGTTGCATACGAGAAGACACTTCAAAACGATGATTTTTTTGATTTTCTGTCAGCTCAGGAGGCACCCACTCATCGAGCTTTTTCACCTTTCCGATTTGCTTCCAAAGCCAAACAACCATAGAATGGTTGACATTGAGTTCTTCGGCACCTTCTCGTGCAGTTGTAAGAGGATCAGCTTCAATGACTGCTCTCAATTGGTCTTTGTCAATTTCCGATGGCCGGCCACTGTGCTCCTCGTCTTCAAGGCTCTCGTCTCCTTTGCACAACTGGCTGAACCACCCCTGCACTGTACATTCGTTAGCAGTTCCTGGGCCAAAGGCGTTGTTGATGTTGCCAGTTGTCTCCGCTGCTTTACAACCCATTTTGAACTCGAATAAGAAAATCACTTGAATTTGCTTTTTGTCTAACATGATTTCCATAGTCTAAAATAAATATAAAATAAACAGCAAGTAATAAGTCGTTAGCAAAAAAACATAAAGTGAGAAATGCACATTAAAATGATGTATAACATAACCACGTTTATTTAAGAATGTATTCCAGTCTCAAACGGCAATTACTTTTGCACCAACCTAATAAAGCTTCAGGGAGATAAACACTTGACTTGGCCTTGTCAGCCGCCGGCATGCTGCTCAGATTAAACAGAAGTTCCAGGGTGAACTCAGCAGGGAGGGCTCCACTCCTTGACTTCAGTGGTCAGAGTCTGCTCGCCCGTCCCTTTTGTTAGCGGTAGCCTCCTGGCCCCTGGTTTTATTTGCCATCCAGGGTTTGGTTTTCTACATGGCAGGCTTGCTCAGGGCCCCTTAGCCCGCTGTCCCAACCCCGTAACACAGAGACAGTTTAGGACATCAGCACTTCAGGACAAGCTCCTCAGAGGCTGGCTCCTGTCTCCTTTCAGAGGCTCAAGGGATGCAGGGTGGGGGGTGCTGGAGGTCTGAGCGGGCTGGGGCTGAGAGCCGAGATGGGCAGGGAGCAGGACTGGGAGGGCCCTGGCTGGAATGCAGGATGCTGTTGTGTTGGCCCTGGTCTGCCGTCACCCACCCCGTGTCCTAGAAAGTCTGCTCCTCCCAGGAAGGGGGTGCACAGGCGAGGATCGGGCAGTTGTAACAGTGCCGACAGCCAGGCTCTCTGAGGAGTCCACACTTTGAACAGCCAGGAGGGTGTTCAGGTCATCTGGGTCTGTAGGTGGGCACGGGGAGCCTGAGGTCTGCTGGAAGACAAGGGAGAGTGCTGGGTGGACGTTGTGGATGGATGTGGCTTCCAACAAATGAACCTCTGGCTTTCTCTCCCTTGACACCTGTTGCCTAGGAGTGGTCTGCAGACCTGAATCGAACTCTCAGCCGGAGAGAGAAGAAGAAGACTGCTGATGGTGTCACCCTGACAGGCATCAACCAGACAGGCGACCAATCTCTGCAGAACAAGCCCAGCAGGTGAGTGAGGGCAGCCTCATTCCATGCCGTAGGAGGGGTCCTCCGAGTTATCTGCGTGGTCCTGGGACAGCCCCAGCATGGACAGCTGGCAGATTCTCCAGTGGTGCAGAGACTGCCACGGACTCCTTTCCAGAAGCTTCCTGGGCTCCTGGGCTCTGCGGGCAATGGCCCAAGGGCATCTCCGGGAAGGATCATCTTCCCTCAGTGCCAGAGCTGCTGAAAGATCCAAAGTGGCAGCCTTTGCCATGAGTGCACATCAGGCCCAAGCGAGGGGGGAGCTTATGTCAGGGCTGGTCATTCGTGTCCCCAGTTGTGGCGCTGCCCTGCACGGACGTGGCAGGTGGAAGCGCACTATCACTGGTTCCCTCAGGCGGTTCAGGTTCTGGGAAACTTTGTGCTTGTCTTCCATGTTGTTTGCAGGCGCCAGCTGAGGGAGGGCCAGGAAAGGACTGAGAGTATCGGTTATTTCTGACTTAGTTGGTGGCTGAAAATGAGTTGTGGGTATAAGGGATGATCCCATGGTCATTAAAGCCTTCTAGAGAGTGTGTGCTAGAGTAGGCCTGCCCTGTAGGGCCTGCCCAGAGGCTTCCGTGCCACACTCAGTAATAGTCACCTGTGGCTGGGACTTCCTAAGAAGGCTCAGCCCAGGTTCCCATGGCCGTCTTGTAGCCCCAGCAGACGTGGCCATTTGTCATCTAGCTGCCATGCACACTGTTTTAGCAGTAAGCGCCTGTCCCAGAGATCAGGCTAGCACCTGTGTGCCTGGGCAGGGTGGGGAGGGTGAGACACTGCCTCAGCGGAGACCCTGGGGGCTCAGGCTGGCTGGGGCTGCTGCACTAGCTCAGCTGCCCACCACCAACCCCTCTCACAGACGTCTGCTGGAGAAAGGTGCTGGGAGGGAGGAGGGCCTGGTGGTTCCAGACACATGGCCTGAATGTCAGGCGCCAGCAGGCTTCGATGCAGTGTCCCTCACCAGGCTAAAGCTGATGAGGCAGTTGCTGGCCACTGAGTCACTCTGGTGGCATTTGAGGCATTACCATGCCTCCCTCCTCAGCTCAGGGCTGGGGGATGGTCAGACTGAGCTGTCCCTCCAGCATTCTGGGTGCTGCTCCCTGAAGCTGTGGACTCGAGGCAGGGGGTGGTGCTGCCCAGGGACGCCCGGGCCATTGGGCCGGGCACTGGCTGGGGTGCCAAGTCCATCTCGTCGTGGCCTCCTTATAGCACTGAGTGCCCTGCAGCCCCTTCAGCCCATCTCCCGGCCCTCGGGCAGGGCTTGGCTCAGGTCTCTGTGGCCTTCACTCTGGGCCTGGCACACAGTAGGCAGTTGACAGCATTGCACGAATGGATTTTCTCTCTGGAGCACAAAAGGAATCCTTTTTTCGACTAGAACTAGAAAGTATTGTGCAGCAGGCTTTAGCCCTGACTTTGGAAGCTCCAGCCCAAGTAGGACAGGGGACTGGCCGCTGAACCCTACCATAGTCAAGAGGAGGGGCTCAGGAGCACCCGCCTGCACATCAGCGGCTCAGGAGACCCCTGCCCACAGCGTGGGAACGAGGGCTGGGAGAAGCCCTGAACCTGGAACCTGCTTTTGCTCCCACTCTGGCCGTTGCCCCCCAGCCCAGCGCCCCTGCTCTGGAGTGACTGCCTCCAGATGCAAGGAGGGAGATGGAATCCTGTTCTCTCTCAGACACGTTAAGCGGGTTTCACAGCCTGACTGTTGCCACATGCTTTACTAAATAACCTTTCTATTGAAACAACATAGTCCTCCTCCAGTCAGATGAGGAGCTGATCCGTCCTTGAGATCATGCACCTGGGAGTCACCAGAACCCTCCACAGGCCCCCGCTGTGCTGGGGTCCCCTGAAAGCTCTCTCTCTCCCCGTAGCAACCTTAGTGTCCCGAGCAACCCTGCGCAGTCCGCGCAGTCACAGTCCAGCTACAACCCCTTCGAGGATGAGGACGACACGGGCAGCACCGTCAGTGAGAAGGAGGACATTAAGACCAAAAAGTTGGTGAACAAATGCTTCCCTCTGGCTCCCACCTCGCTCGCTCTGTCTCTCCTCTCTCTGTCCAGGGCTCTGGCCCCAGGTCTTCCCCATCAGCATTCAGCAGTGCATGAGGCCCTGGAGGAGGCGGGCTCCTGGCACACTGCACACCTGGCCTGGCCTGCTGGTGGACAGCCTCTGGCATCTCCATTTCTCGGGGTGGGCACAACTAACAATCTTTGGTTGCTTTTTCTCTGTCCCCCATTAACCCTTCAAGGCCCGGGCACCACCACCACAGGAAGACAGACAGGCGTCCTGCTGGGGACCTGCAGGAGTGGGGCCCCCATGTCTGCCTCTGGGGCACTGGTGTGGGCCACCACCAGCCGCCTGCCTGTGCCTACTGGTGGCTCAGGTTGAATGTGGATGGCATGAATTCTGGCCAGGGCCTGGCTCCACCCATGCTGGAGAGAGCTGTGCGCTTTCGGAAGGAGCCCTCAGCCTCGCACCTCACCGCTCCTCGCCCTCCTCTCACAGGGGCGGAGGCTCTGGGTGAGGGCTCATGCCCCCTGCCAGCCCCTGCTGAGAGTCCTGTGTCAACCCCTTTCTTGCAGTGTGAGCAGCTACGAGAAGACCCAGAGCTACCCCACTGACTGGTCAGATGACGAGTCCAACAACCCCTTCTCCTCCACGGATGCCAACGGGGATTCAAACCCGTTCGACGAGGACACCACTTCAGGGATGGAAGTGCGAGTCCGGGCCCTTTATGACTACGAGGGCCAGGAGCATGACGAGCTAAGCTTCAAAGCTGGTAGGTGGGCTCCCGCCCGCGCCTGGGGATGAGGGCATCCAACCTGCTGGGGGAGGTTTGCATTGTTTTCTAAGCCTGGTAGAGTTCCTGCTAGTTTCTCGGGCGAGTCCTCACTGCTGGCCCCACCGCTCCCCGATTTCAAAAGCAGCAGGTGCTCGACACCAGAACTCAGGAAACAGTGAGGCACCTTGTGCCTTCGTCCAGACACCCACGTGCGCTGGGGCTGGGAACAGGGCACAGGCCGGTCACAACCTTTCCGCAGGGGTCCCAGCTGCCAGAGGCGCCCCCAGCACTCGATGCGCCCCTGGGCCAGGCGGAGCCTCATCTCAGGCAGCACCTTTCAGATGTTCTTTCTGCAGCCACATGTGTACACACCTGCCCACACTCACCTGTGTCACCATAGCAGAAACCGTGGTTTTACACAATAGTCTGGGTCCTTCCTGTGTGCTCTGCCGGTGGAGATTTTCTATCTGATGCCCTTTTATAAAAAAAAAAAAAAAAAAAAAACTGGTTACAGTTTACCAAAATGGGCTGCAGCCTTCAGTGTGAAAGCACTTAGAGCTGTCTAAGGAGGCTGGAGGGGCCTAGGGCCAGAGCAGGCCACAGCAACCCAAGTTCCCTACTACCTTGTCCCCTCCTCGATGCCATCCCACAGCCAGCAGCCACCCCTCCAGGAACAGGGGTGCTGGTCCAGAACTCACAGGCTGAGGCGTGCCCCTGCCCCTAGGCTATACCCCAGGGACAACTGCCTCACCCCTGCTCGGCTGGGGGTGGGGCTGTGCCCAAAGGCCAGCCTCCTGACCCAGCCTTTAGCCGCTTCCCCTGCGTGCCCAGTGGTCCCTGCCAGCTGTCCCCAGATACTTGCCTCCAGGGGCGGTCATCACATTCCTCTGGCCAGTCTTAGAAATTTTGTTACTGCCTTTAAGCCATCTTTGGCCAGTTTTCTGATATCTTTGGTTGGGGTTATTACCCCTGACTTTGTTGGTTTGTTTTTAATTTCTAATTCTTTTTCAATCTTATTCAATCTATTATATTTGACAGTAATTTTATAGGTTTAAAATGTTTCCTCCAGCAAATTGTCAAAAGCAAACGGATTGAAATGAACATTTCTAACTACCAGTTCACATTTGCATAACTCGAGAGGTTTCCTGTCTGTTTTGTCCGTTTTCTGTGTTACTTCACTTCTTTACGATGGAAAATGAGCTCTCAGCCAGTGCGGCTTGTCTCCCAGCTTTCTCGGTGCCCTGGATGCTGGCCGCCTCTCTGGGTCTCGTGTGCTGGTGGAGCCCTTCCTGGGTGGACTTCCCACCTCGTGGTGGCCTCACATGGAGGGCCTCATCCTAGCCCCTGAAGCCTGCAGTGGGGCCTGTGGGCGCAGCAGCCCAAGAGGCAGGGCAAGAGAAACATTAGGGGCCCTTGTGGCGGAAGGATGGGAGAAGATGGCAGTTCCCGGTGGCCACTAATGCTTCTAAGTCAGATTTGTAGGACAACGGGTCTGGCGGTAGCAGCAGGATGAGTCGGTGTTTACATGTCTGCACCATTCCGTTCATGTTTTAACCCGTAATTCTCACAGCACCCGCAGTCCACGGACAAGGGGAGCAGAAGCAGTTGGCCCGGGTCTCCCAGTGGTGAGTGGCGGCTCTGGGATTTGAGCCTGAGCAGTCCCAGGGGCACCAGGAGCCCCAGGTGTTGGCCCCGCAGCATCGTGACCAGTATCGCTGCCACTTCTGGGAGAAGTTGCTAAACCAGGCACACCTGCCTGCCTGGGGACAACTGTATCTGCTTCTGAACCGTGGACCCATGCCAGGGAGACACAGAGCCGCAAACTTAACCGTGAAGGCAGAACAGCATGGGAGACTACAAATTTCCACTAGTGGCTTCTTCCTGAGGAGGTCTGAGCCAGCAGGTCCCCATAGCCTTCTCTGTCGTTAGTCACCAGCCAAAAGCACACAGGCCCTTAATGGGCAAACGCCAGACCCGGGACCCTGCCCTGGTGCCACTTCCCCCATCACTGCCCGGATCACTTTTTTTTTTAAATAAGTATTTATTTATTTTTGAGACAGAATCTCGCTCTGTCACCCCGGGTAGAGTACAGTGGCATCATTATAGCTCACTGCAACCTCAAACTCCTGGGCTCAAGCGATCCTCCTGCCGCAGCCTCCCGAGTAGCTGGGACTATAGGCATGCGCCACCATGCCCGGCTAATTTTTCTATTTTTGGTAGAGGGTCTTACTCTTGCTCAGGCTGGTCTCGAACCCCTGAACATAAGCAGTCCTCCCACCTTGGCCTCCCAGAGTGCTAGGATTACAGGCAGAGCCACCGCACCCGGCCAACAATTTTGATCTTGTCCCTGTCTCCTTGAGAGACTGGTGTCTATCTGTTCCTCTCATATCTGTATGTCCTTTACCCAAAGTAGGGGCTCCTTCAAGTTTGAACAAACAAAAGATAAACCACACTAACATGTATAGCCATCGGAGATTCCAGAACAGTGCCAGTGGCTTCCACCTCACAGAGTTGGGAGGGATTGACACATGTCATCTTGTCTAAGCCCTGAGCCACGTGCAATTATGGCTGTCAGATGTGGTCCCTGCCCCTCACACAGCCTGGCATCTGGCAGTGGGGAAAGATTAACAAGGGCACAGTGACCACGGTGGCAGGTGCCGGGCAAGATACAAGAAGAGCAGAGAGGGGGCCCAGGCAGGGAGGACGGCAGTGGAGAGCCGGGGTGCGAGGGAGGGGCGCAGGCCTGGGAAGGATGCCTCCCCGGCCAGACGCAGGCTGGAGGACACACGCCCACAGCATTTCACTCTGCAGTCTCTGTGGGAGCCATGGCAGCAACCGAGAGCTGCTTGCTCTGGGATCACTGTGTGGGACTGTCCTCTCCAGGTCTCTCAGAGGCCATGTGACCAAAGAGGCAGCTTAAAATGCAGTTTACCCCAGGCACAGTGGCTCACAACAGTAATCCCAATGACTTGAGGCAGGAGGATTACTTCAGCCCAGGAGTTCAAGACCGGCCTGGGCAACATAGCGAGAACCCGTCTCAAAAAAAAGCAAAATTAAGAAAATGTATTCGGGCATTGGGGCATGCACCTGTAGTCCCAGCTACTGAAGAGGCTGAGGTGGGAGGATCACTTGAGACCAGGAGTTCAAGGCTATAGTGACCTACGATCATGCCATGCACTCCACGGTGGACAATAGAGTAAGACCTCGTCTCTAAAAAAGGAAGGTGGGAAATGCAGTTTAGTAGAGAACTGACAGGCCCTTTCCCTGCCCTCAAGAGGATGCCTGCCCCTCCACCCGGGGCAGAGACCCTCTGGCCCCGAATCACGTGAGGGCAGCTCTCCAACGCATGGTCGGTGTCACCCGCCCTCTCACCAAGACCTCTCCCTCTTGTGTACAGGGGATGAGCTGACCAAGATGGAGGATGAAGATGAGCAAGGCTGGTGCAAGGGACGCTTGGACAATGGACAGGTTGGCCTGTACCCAGCGAATTACGTCGAGACAATCCAGTGACGGGCTGTAGGGCAGGCCGGCAGAGGGACGGAGGTGGTGGGCCCAGGAGCTCCAGTGCCTCCAGCCGGCCATGTGGGCGTCCACTCGTGTTCCTGCAGAAGATGAAGGTTCCGTTGTTCTTGGCTTCATGGTGTCCCTGGCAGGCGGACGAGCTGGTCACTTCACCAGGGACTCGGCATCTTTCCAAGTGCAGCTGGAGGATCTGAGCGCAGGAAGACACGGAACAGCAGAGAAGGAGCCGGCCCTGCCGCCGCCCGCCGCGTTCGCTGGCTTATCGTGGATCTGTACGCTCTTGACCTTGTCTCCTCTCCTCCGAGTCAATGGGTTACGCTGATTCTAGTTCACTGATCACTTTCTCTGGCGAGTCCCGTCACTTGCAACTTAAATGAACAAACTTACATGCCATTCTCTGAGTAAAGATTTTGAGGTTTTTAATTTAAAGCCTGTGTACAGTTATACTTTTTTTATACCTGTTCTTCCATTCATTCGTACTTAAATTACGGCACAGATGGACATACACCAGTCTTGAAGAATTGCTATCTCCGGTTCCGTGCTGCGCTGTTAACCAGCCGCGCCACGGTGCAGGGTAAGCTGCGGGAGGTGACGCTCACGACAGGTGACGTTTGCCGTGGCAGACTGTCGTGGAAAGGTGGGTGCACGTCACAACCTCCTACCGTGCACACCCTCTGTGCATCCGGGCGTCTGAACGCAAGTGTCAGATACAGCCGTAGGTCGTACTCCCAAAGTCGCCATGTTTAAAAATCGTCACTCTAATCTTGCTTAAAACTTTACTCTTTTATAAATTAACAGTCTTATCAGTGATTTGGAAGGTTAAAAAGTAAGAAGGCTAACTTTTCAAGCAAACACATCTGTCTCTGTGCATATCTGTGTATATTGTTTGTGTCCAGAGAATCTAAAAAGCTTGTCTACTGTTTTAATGAGATTTGACAGCTTTTGACAGTGGGTTTCATTTGTAGACTGCGTGAAGTCTGCGGCGTCCAGGCACAGGCCTGGCTGGCCAGCTGGACCTACTCCCAGGCGCAGACATGGGCGCTGGGCCCCTCTGGCGGGGAGACCGCTGGAGGAAGACTCGGCCTTGCCGGCGTCACCCTTAGTTCCGTAGCGGAACACTGTGAAAACGCCGTGTCTTCGCAGCGTCGCACCCTTCACGGTCATCTGTATTCCTTGTGGGCAAACAAAGCTGGATCTCACCCACGGCACAGCCTCTCTGAATGTCCTTCGTCACCAGAGAGCCGAGGGTGCTGTGGCCAGAGCTGCACTGTGGTCACGTGGCAGGCGGGGGGGTTGGGGAGATTTTATTTTCTGTAACGCAGACGCGGTGCCACTCCTGCCACCTCCACGAGCTATGCATTTCCGCCCTTTCCGGTGAGCGCGACGTCTTGCTTGGAAAGTGGATGTGTGTCTGTGTCTGTCATGAAAACTTACCAGCAGAAATCCTCATTCCTATGCTACAGATTTACCAAAAATTATCAAGGCTTCGAGTTTAGTTCCTTTAAATGTATAGTATTTTAGGAAAAAGCAATAAACAGTTGATCTTGTGCATGTGGAAGTCCCTGTGCTGTGCATCTGCCCTCGTGCTCACGTCACCTGGTGGACACGTCCTCCTCGGGGTTCACCAGCTTCGGAGCCGGGCAAGGTCCAGGGCACAGGACCCCTGCCCGAGGGGCCATGTCCCACTGCCCCTGCCAAACCGGAGACTGGGGATTTGAGGCACCTGAGCCCCTTGCGGCTCGCCTCTCTGGAGACCTGCTGCCGTAGGCCCTGGGCTTCCCCACAGTGTGGGCAGGGGCTGGCGCTTCCCTCCCCCAGGCCCAGACAGCAGGATGAAGCGGTGTCACCCGGAGCACGTTTTGTTCCTGAGCACTTGCTGTGCGCCAGGCCTGGGCCTCCACCTTTTACTCACATTATGTGCAAAGAACACGTCTCCAAACAGCCCCCCGGGGGGGCGGGCCAGTCTCCCATTTCCATTTTCCAGAGGAGGAAATAGGCTCCAAGAGCCGGCTCTACCCAAGGAGTCCCAGCTAGTCCCAGGCGCTGAGCGGGGTCCCTGAGGAACACTCCATCCCCACTGGGGTGAACCGGGGAAGAAGGCTTGGCTCGGCTGCCCTGGCCAGTTAGCAGAGGGGGAGAGACGAGACGTGGCGGCTGCCGTGGCCACCTCACCAAGCCCTGGTCAGGCTGCCGAGGAAAGCACCCCGTCTGGACATGGGGCCCTCGGGAGCCAGCAGGAGTGAGGCAGGCAGCTGCCCTGCAGTGTGGCTTTGCCCCAGCTCAGCAAGGGCAGGGGTGAATCTTTGCCGTCCAGACTCCTTGTCTGATGGAGGCAGGTGCCCCGCTCTCCCAGCTTCTGAGGAGCAGCGGGCCGCCCACCGCCCAAGGCAGACTCCAGCCCCGGCCCCTGCCAGCCCAGGCTGCGGAGAGGGGCAGAAGGGAGGGGCCAGAAGCAGGCTCTGGGGACCCCTGGGCCTGAGCTGCTGTCCAGGCCCTGCAGGCAGCTCCAGCCACGGGAGACTGCGGCCACGTGCTGGGCCAGGCCTGCTGGGCTGGATGAAGCAACCTCCACTCTGCGAGGCCCTCGCTCACAGCCCCCGGACCTCCTAACTGTCCTCCCGCCCCTCCTGCCCTGCCCTCAGGGGCCAGTTTGGGGGCCTCAACTTGTTCCTCTGGGCCCGGTTTCCCCAGGCAGGAGCAATGCCTGCCTTCCCTGCTGGGGGGATACAGTAAGGGGGTGAAGGCCACAGGCACTCAGGAGGCATCATTGTCACGACTGAGTGACACCGCAGGCTGGGGGCCGGGACACTCCGCCATCCTTGGCTGTCCCTCCTGTGCCCTCCATGCTGGGCCACCAAGACCTCTTGGCCCCTTGTTCCTTCCACAGCCACTGCCCTGATCAACGCTGCCACCAACCATCCCCAGGGCCCTTGAGGTGACTCTAGGGGGGCTGTTGGTGAGCCCCAGTGCCCTCTCCTGGGCAGAAGCTCCATGGGGCCGGGAGGTGGGTATTTCATCAACCCTCCCCAGCCCCCTGCCCCCGGTAATGCCAGGAGGGTGGGCAAGTGCAGCCGAGTGACCCAGACGTGGGTCTGGCTCTGCCGCAGCCTGAGCGAAAACTGGGTCTTTGGATGTCCCTGCAGACGGAGGACAGGGCTGGCCTCTGCGACCTGGGCTTCGAGGCAGGACCCTGATCCCCCAAACACGCGAGTCCCCTCCCGGCCTCGCCTGGCCTCACTGGGTAACGGCCAGGGGGACCTGCTCACAAGCCCTCAGGATAGCCATGGGGTGGGGTTGAGAAGGGCCCCTGTGGACCACCTGACCAAGCTCCTCCTAGTTCATGGGGAAACTGAGGCCAAGTGAGGGGAGGAATGACTTGCCCACAGGCAGAGCAGTGGGTGTAGGAGCCCAGCAAGGCCTGACCCCCGAGCAGCCCTCCCGGCAGGGGACCAGCCCGCTCTCTCCTGGTTTGTCCACGGGGCGGTCATTCATTCACCACGCAACTACTGAGCGCCCGCCGGGAGACTGGTGCCAGGACAGACGTGAAGAAGAGCCAGTGCTTGCCCTTAGGGAACCGCTTCACGCTCAGAGAGGGACTCAAGTCATTCTGACACCAAGTGGGGACAGCCAGCAAGGAGGGGGCAGGGCTGTCCGCTGAGAGTGTGCATAGTGGGTTCTGGAAAGGTCTCACAATATCAGGGCAAACGAATGCCTCCCAACTCAGGCCCCAGGGCCCGAAGGGGCAGAACACTGCTTGGTCCTTGAGCTGTTTCCCTCATGTCCAGAGACCCCGGAGTCCCCACCTGGGTAGGAGGTCAGGCTGGACCACAGACGAATGGAAGAGGACCTCAGCCCCCGTGAGACCTGAGGCCCAAGCAAGTGCCGGAACTTCACTGCTGCAAAGTGGGGGCAGTCACTGAGGATGACTTGCAGGGGTGTCCAGAAGCCAAGCCCCAGCCAGGTGGGCTCCCTGGCGGAGGTGCCCTGTACACGACCTTTCCTCCCCCACCCCTTTCACAAGCCATTTTCTCCCCAGTGTGGTGGCCCCC